CCGACCTGCGCACGCTGCCACTCCGCGGTATTTACTGGGGTCAGTTTTTACCATACGCAGCGTCCTATTCCCTTGAGTTTTATTATTGGGTTCGCAAGTACTCTGTCGAGGGACGTTGCGCAGCAGTTTGTCTCCTACAAGCCGCTGCAGCGGCTGGTGCGTCTGCCGTACAGCAGCGAGAGGGAGCCGGAGTTCAGTAGCTTGTACATGGACCACGAGGACATGATGGTGGGGATTGTCCTTCAGAAGGCGGAATATGGAAGCCTGACCTTTGTGAAGGAAAGTACGTGTAGGTTTCATTACGTGCGTAACGGTCCACGCCTCGCCCCCGTGAGGCAAAGTTCCGTTGTTGTGCACCACATCAACGAAGAGGAATACGAAGTGTTGATGCGCCGCTTTGGGAAGGATACTTCCCCTTCTCCCAAGAAATACCGGCGCATGAAGGGAGGTTTTGTTTTTGATTGTCAATAGTATCGAATTTATTTTTCTTACTTGAGTTGAAGAGATGTGTCGTAACTTTCTGGTTTGTGTTTTCTTCCGAAGTTCAAAGAAAAATGTGAACACTTTGGCTTTTTTACTTTATGGCCGCGTTTATTAGGGTGTTTGGTTATAGATGCTTTCCGCGTGAGGCTTCACTGTCGGTGGCTCGTGGCGGATTATGATGTGGCTTCATAAGTCTGTGCTTGTTTATTGATTTTTTTTGTGTTGATCCGTAAGAAGCGTTTGGGTTTTCTCTGTTTTTACTATTGTGTTGCTGAAGTGGGCTGCCTTAGGCCTTCTTGAGAAGCCATGGAAATTGTTGTATCAACGCATGCATGTCTCTTTCTTCTTATCATATGTTTTATTCGATAGGAAGTCCTGGGCAGCTCTGCTTTATTGCGCACATTTGCCTCTCTTTTCTCTGCGGTGGGGGCGGCACGGTGGGAGTATGACGTCGAATCCCACGAGCACAGGCGATGACGACGGCGCCCAGCCGGCGGTGACTGCTGACGGGGCTGAATCGATTGGGAGCGCGGTGCTGGGGAGCATGTTTGTCTCGGGGGAGCCGAAGCACGCGCTGGACGGCTTATCCAGTGCCGCGCGAAATATTGCGGTCGGCGTGGGGGCCGGTCTGGGCAGCCTCGTGGCCCTGCCCGTCGTGAGCTGGCGCAGGGAGGGCGCGGCGGGGGCCGCGAAGGGGGCGGCGATGGGGGTTGCCTCGCTGCTCGGCATGACGACGTACGGCGTGGCGCAGGGGGTGGTGCAGCTCGCGAAGGGCGTCTGCCACACGCCGGAGGCCGTGGCGGAGGCGGCGCGGGGCGAGCGGTACTGGGACAGCCAGGAGGGGCGCTGGGTGGAGGTGCGCCTCGACGCCGCCTTTGCGGAGCTGCCGGTGGGCGACGAGGACCTCTTCGCGCGGGCGCGCGAGGCGTTTCGGTCGACGTTCGAGGCGACGCCCTCCGGCGCGGAGGACGCCACCCCCGCGGGGGCGGCAGCGGCGCCGGCGCCGGCGCAGGACTACTACGCCACGCTGGGCGTCCCGAGGACGGCGACGGCGGCGGAGGTTCGCAAGGCGTTTCACCGCTTGGCCCTCGAGATGCACCCGGACAAAAACCCGAACAATGCGGAGGCGACCCTGCGCTTTCAGAAGGTGTTGGAGGCGAACTCCGTCCTCTCCGACGAGGGGCGCCGTGCGCACTACGACCGGTACGGTGCCGTGGACGCCCTCCCCGACGAGACCGCCTCCTTCACGCAGGTGGAGGAGGCGCTTGGGGCAACCTTTATGGAGGTCTTTGTCGGGCGGCTGTCGCATGCGCTCTACTTTGTGCCCAACGTGTTCATCACGGAACCGCTGATGAAGGAGTTTCAGCGGCGACGGACACTGCGCCTGGCGCAGCGCCTCATCCGCTTCGTCGACGACGAGGCTGGATTGGGGGTCGCCCTGCCTGCAATACGCGATGCCGTTTCCACACGAATGGGCCCGCAGTTGATGTCTATTGTTGGCGAGCAGTACATCGCTGCTGCCCGTCAGCACCTGAAGGTCGGTGCGTTACAGCGACAGTTGGATATTTTTGCCACCTCCAAGTGGGCGGCGCTTGCGCACGTGGCGGGTGTGACAAGGGCGGCCCTCAACACGGTGCGACGTGCGCAGAATGAAGAGTGGCAGTTGGACGTGTTAGCCGCGCTTTGCGGGAGAGATGTACAGCGCACTGTTCTGCGTGCAGCTCGCCTCATTTTGTATGACACCTCGGTGTCCCCGGATAAACGGAGGCAGCGGGCCAACAACTTGTTGACGCTAGGGAAGATGGTGGGGGAGGTATGCCGCTCGCCTCCCTCGCGGGAATGAAATGATGAGGATGCTTTAGGTATTCTTTCTGTTTTGCATTGATTATTTACTTATTTTACTGCTCTTCCTGATGAGGAGGTGTGTGCGCCACTGCTTCTCATTTCCCCCCCAATTTTTTTTTCTTTAGTACCCTGTCGCGTCGGCGGGCGTTGCAAGCAGAGTGTCCATCTGCGTCTACTGCTGCTCGTGGGTTCCGAGCTGCGGGGCACGCACACGCACACACACACGCAAGGGAGGCTGGATGTATGTGCGTGTGTGTCTGTGTCTGCGTGTGAAAAATCGGCCTGCATTGGCTCTGTTTTTTTTTTCCTTCTCTCTCTTTCCCACTCTTTCCTTCGTCCTTCTTCTTCCGTGCCTGCCCGCAGGGTGTGTGTGTGTGTGTGTGGAGTAGAAGTAGGCACTGCGGAGCATTGGCTTCTTTTTTTTTTGCCGCATTCGCACTTTATTTACTCTTCATTCTTTTCACCCCGCTGCGTGCCTCTGGAGGCAATGAACAGGGGCGGTTTGGCACCCGTCGCGCCCGGCGAAGACCCGCACTCGGCGTGGAAGCGGGCATTGGAGACAAACGCGGCGCACGGCGACGCGAGGAGCCCCAAGGGCACCGTCAGCAGCACGAACCCCGTGATGGGGGGCGCAGACGCTGCGCTGCTGGGAGGCAGGCAGGAGGGCGCTACGGGTGGTGGCCGTGGGCCCAAAGTGCCGCTCACTGCGATGAGGGGAGCAAACACGGTGTATCTCAGAAAGAACGTGCTGGACTTTCTTCATGACATGTACGGCACAAAGCCGTTCCAGGACCCCGTCGCCCCCACGAATGCCGCTGCTACTGAGCCCCAGAAGCTCTGGTGGATGCGGGCGTTGGCGCCGACCTCAGGTAGCACGAGTAAAGGGGCCCCGACGGTGCCGGAACGCGTGCCGCTGCGAAGGGTCAGCTCACACCAAGGAAGCATGCCCGGCCGAGATCCTTCCCAGCCGCGTGCCTCCGGCAGATTGTGCGCCTCAGAGGATCAGCTGGAAACGCTGGTGGATCATATTCTTCAAGGTTACATGCACACGCGTGGGAGGTCTAAGGGCCCGGCGCCGGCGCTACTCAATAGGCCCGAGGCGAGTGATACCATCTCTCAGTTTGTGAGCACTGCCCTGGACAAGCTTTTGGTGACGGAGGCCTCCTTCTCGCACTGCGATGCAGCCTCCGCGCGTTCCTTTCTTTCCTTAGGCGTCGACCACAACTTTTCGAAGCTGGCGTCCTTCAACGCCCAAAGCCAATTCTTCCAGGACGACGAGGAGAGCGAGCTGCTTGTGAATCCGGCGTTTGAAGGAAACTTGGCGATGTTCGCCCCTGTGACTTCGCAGGCTGCCATCAGTGTGAGCGACTCGCTGCCGCCCATTGAGGCCACGCGGCTCCCGTCGCCCTCTGCGGTTAGCCCGCGCCCCATACGGCGGGGCCAAGTTCCACCGCCGGTCCCGGCCGGCGGCAATCCACTTGAGGATGTTTTCCAAACCCTTTCGCGACAGATGTCACTTGACTCCGCCAAGGTGGAGCTAAATTCCACCGACAGCTGGGAAGGACAGCAACGGCGAGGTCGACGATGCGCTTTCGCCCAACGGCGAGGCGGGCAATGGGCTGAAACGGAAAAATTGTGCGCCGTCAATTCCTGCCGGCGCCGCACGCGCGCGGCTCCAACCCTCGGGCGCCACAAAATCGGCTGAAGCAGGGAAGGCAGCAAAGAACGTTGCAGCGCAGCTCCTTCGTGACGAGGATCTGAAGCGGAGCGTGCTGTTGGCTGTGGAGCGGCGCTTCCGCGCGTACATTTGCACGCTCATGATGGACGAGGCGTCGGAGCTCAATAACGCCACGGCGAAGTGGAGTCACGGCGCCGCGGTGAGCCCCCAGCAGCAACAGGCGGCGGTGACAGGCACGCCGCAGCCGATGGTGCAAAACCTTCTCGACTTTTTCGGCAAGTGAGAGGGGGAGGGGAGGGGGACGGTGGTGGTGGCTGTGAGCGGGGCAAGAAGGAAGGAAGAAGAAAAATAATGCAGGGCAATGTAACAAAAGTAATGAGCGAGGGAGGGAAGGAGGCATCTATACCATGTAGACTGGCGGCGGCAACGCGATGCTGTGCCCATAGGCGGGGTCCCGTTTTTTTAATCTATATCTCTCTCTCTGTGTGCCTCCTTTACATCTTCCCCCTCACTCAGCTATTTGTTGTTTTTTTGGCTCTTTTTTTGTTTATCATAGTTTTCTTTTGTCGATTCTGTGATGGCGTGTGTTTCTGGGTTTCACGTGTGTGCTCCTCTCTGCCTGCGGCTTAACCTTCTCACTCTTTCCTCCTCTGTGCTTGTGTTTACTGCAAATGCTGCGTCCTTCCCTCGCGCAGGGGGGCGGGGCGGGGGTACGTGCATCCCCCTCCCTCCACCGCACCGGGGCCCAGACGCCACCTGTAGCGCATTATCTGTTGCATGCATGCCTGCGTGTGCGTGCTGGAGGGTTCTTTTTTTTCTGTCGGTGCGAATTTCTTCTCAACCGCGATAGTTTTTTTTTTCCCCCCCTTTGGTTTGACGCCCATCATTCCTCCGTTGAGTGTTTTTTGTTGTTGATGTTGTGTTTTGTTGGTTGTGGCAAAACACAAAAAAAAAAGGAGGGGCACATTTGTGTGTGCCCGCGACTGACGCTGCGGATGCCTTGTTGTTGTTGTTGTGGGGCGTGGGCCCCCTTGACTGCCTCCCGATGACTGTTGGGGGACCCCCTTCGCCTCCACTTCACGTGTGTCTCTGTCCGCGTGGGTGGGGGGTTTGTTTGCTGCCGCCCACGCACGGTCACTTCCCTTTTTTCGCTTGCCCTCTTTCTCATCGACTCGCGCTGAAACCCAACCGAGCACCCGTCAGGGTGGTGGTGGTGTGTGGTGGGGTTAACATGTCGATGGATGCAGCCTTGTTTTTCCCGCGCGACGCGGCGCCTCCCTGGCGGCACTTGTGCGGCCACGGCTGCTTCATTCGGGGCGCGCGGCGCAGTGGCAAGACGTCGTTTGCCTTTCAGGCGGCCGTGAACACCGTGCGGGGCGGGGGCCGTGCGGTGGTGCTCTGCCAGGAACACGTGCTGTATTCCAAAATGCCGCGGCCCTTCACGCCTCTGGGGGACCTTGACGAGGCCGCCCTCCTGCGCATGGAGTTTCTGTACGTGGAGAGCCTCGCCGACGCCTTCCGTGAGGTGGCCGCGTGGAGCACGCCAGAGGATGCCCCCGCGCTTGTGATTCTCGACGACGACAGCTTTGCAGATGCGGGGGATGCGCGGCGGACGGCGCAGATGCTTTCGGCGCTGGAGAACGTGCATGCGTGGCTGACGCGCTGTGGGAGGTGCTTCCACTACGTGCTCGTCTCCAACAGCTTCCCGGAGCGTGGGCAGGGCGTCGAGCTCCCCTTCGCCGCCTTTCCGCTGCTGTGCCTTCTCTTTGGGTCGGCCGGGTCGGTGTCGGTGCAGACGCTGGAGGACGACACAGCGGAGGCAAAGCCGCTGCGGCTGGCGTGGCACGACGGGCTTCTGCTGGAGAAGTGAAGTTTGGAGTTGATGCCGTCGTCAAAACTCTCTCCGTCAGAGTGACTCAGATGCGGTGGAGTCATTCCTTCAGCCACGAGTGGGTGGTGGGAAGGGGCGTAGTGCGTGGGTTTTGCAGCCCACGCTGCAGCAGTGGCTCGCTCTTGTTGTTTGGGCACTTTGTGTGCGTGCTTGCGTCTTCACTCGTTTCTCCGCCTCTCTTCTGTCGTTGCTGTTGGTGCTGTGGGGGTTGCGTGGCGTGTGCCTCCGCCGGCCCGTGTTTGCCTCTGCCTCTCGCAGCGGTGCGCCGCCGCCCCGCCCGCTCTGCGTGTGGGAGGGCAAGACAACTGCGATGGCGCCCTGCCACGGCGGCGGAGGCAACGAAGTCCTGCGGAAAAAACGCCTGCGGTGCCTTCGCGGGTGCCAACTACTTCACACATGCGCGGCCGCTTGCGAGGCGGAGACGCAAGTTTGCCTTTTTTTGGCCGCCCGAGCCCACGCGGCGGCGTCGCCTTCCGTTTCCCCGGCAACGGCGACTGCTACTGCGCGGAGGACGGCAGTTGCTGGCCCACGTTCCGTGCCACGTTGGACCGAGCGATGCACGCGACGGTGGGGGGGGGGGGTTTGGCGCGGACGTGCACGTGTGCGCCTGGGCGCGCGCCCACCTCTCGCGGGGGCTGTGCGGGTCGCTGGCCGACGTTGTCGTCCACCCGCGCGCGGGACGGTGCCGC